TAAACATGTCACGGTTAATATTTTAATAATAGTTTTAAAAAGATTTAAATCTGAACCGTTAAAATATTAATCCAATAGTTAAAAAAAAAAAAAAGAGAGAGAGAGAGAAGGAAGAGGATGGGAAAGGAGGAGGAGATGTTACGAACCGCACATGTAATGAAATTCACTTGAGAGCCTCACATGGCTTCTATCCTAAGTCGATACGTCTTTCTTCACATGCAGGCGCAACTTACAATTGATTGACATTGATTCGGACTTCCATGTTATAGGGCAGAATAAGATCGAACACAGTAGTGACTGATTTCTCATCGTTGCTGATTTTTCTCACAGGCAACCATATCCTTCCCACCGCATCCTTTCTTCAATTCTGTTCACATATGATAATGATCCGTAAGTAAGAATCCCTGAGATTTTCTTATTGTAACGAAAACCCAACCTCACATAACAATTCTCTCGTAGTTGGAGGATCAAGAAGCCATCATCGGTTAAAGAGTAGGATTTAACGTTCTGGGAAGAACAACCTCGGGAGGTTGACGTCGTGGTTGGGAACAGATCTCAGAGTCAGGTTCTGGAGAGGTCTCCTGGAAACACCCTTCTTTATATGTTGCCAAATAATAATGAAGTAAAAGAAAACTCGCAATAATGGTGGGCAATAATAGCATTAACGTGTTATGATAGTGTGATCATCAAGAGAAGGAGACATTAATGTGATATGGTAGTTAAGATCGGATTGAGATCAGGACACAGTATTGCATTAATGCAACAGCTGATCAGACCATTGCATATTTCTCCTCATCAAGCAGCTTCAAACCATGAAAAGAGAGCGTGGGCATGGCATAGAGGCCGTCGACTATCAGGTTACTTAGCCGAACGTGCATGAAGTTATGAAGACTAAGAAGTCTCAAGCAGAAAGACTGCCAATTTTTTTCTGTTTCCAGCACGTGTTTATAAGCATCGTGGATTTGGAGTCTATAGATAGCATCTGGGATTATGCATGCGTGTGTCCAGATTATTGATCAAATAATTTGAAATGCAAAAATTGAAGCAGTCAAAAACCACCAAAGACTATTCTAATAGGTTATAACGCATAGTATACTGAGGACTTTGCTGTTGGATTGTGCAAAGAGGTGTTTGATATTAATAATAAGCTAAATTTTCGTAGTAGACAGCTTGTTAAGAAGACACACAAAGCATTATCTAAAGATTGATGGTGCATTATGTTCAGGAGAAGGAACATTGGGGGAGGAGGAAGAAGAAAAGAAGGAAAGGAGGCTAAGAGGAAAGCCGATGACAAGACATATAAAGATACAGAAAATGTTGGATATACGATGGCGAAGGCAGTATGTGGCAATAAGATGACAAGATGCAGGAAGGAAAGAGAACAGAGGCGGTTGTAGCTCTTAAAGTGTCACACCCCAATTTTTAGAGGTAACCGACAAGGAATATGAGAAATCTCACATTCCCGAGCCTTCTCTTTCACTGACAATTAACATCCACTATAAATAAATCATATAACCAAAATAATAAACCATTTGTAGAAATTTGGGCAAAGTCTCCATGATAAATCAGACCCCCTGAAAGTTCTACACTGGCCTGCAAGTTTAAAACAGTATTTGGAGCTCTACTCCCCAACACAAGTATATATATAATTACATCCCAATTTACCTCAAAAGACTAGGATCTAACTATAGATTTCGTGGAGCACATACTATAAAATTAAATACATAAGTGTACTCTTGGGTTTACATTAGTTAACAACTACTCAAATTAGATTCAGAGGTTATGGATCTTCACTGAGGCTCTTCACTGCTTAGCTGGAGGGATAGGCTCTGCGGTACTATCTAAAGCCAAAATAATCTACCAGTGAATAACATCTCATTATAATATCTAATAAAATATTAGGAACTAAATAAAATAAATTTAACTTTGACATATAAATGGCAAGAATTAAAATACAATCCTAAATTTAAATATACTTGAACTCATTAAACAATTAAATCAAATCAAACTTCATAATAGGATAACTTGATACGTGAAAATGATATAAAACATCATTCTATTTATTATTATTATTTTCTTTAAATCTTGTCTTTTCATAGGACCTTAACAGAACGGGATAACAAGCGCAGTCTAAAGCCACGAGTACAAGCATGGACACAGTCCATGAGGATGAGTAACAAAACAAGTGCAGCTGAAGCCACAAAACAAGCACACCTGAAGCCACAAAACAAGTACGGGGATGATGCCCACGAATATCGAGCGAGCTCAAGATTTCCATGGCGCGCCAAGAACTAACAGTATTGCTATTAGTGATCAGTGTTCTGTATTCTATCCTCCAAGAAAACAAAACTCACAAGCATGCATGAGATCACTTCATCACTAACTTAACAGAGGAAATATATATATATATATATATATAAAGTTTTCACATAATGGAATCCTTTACAAGTGTGTGTGTATATATATATATATATATATATATTTTTTTTTTGTAACAAATGATCCCAGCATGAAGGTTCTCAAATAACATTTTTAAAACTCCTCTTCGAGTTCTAAGCATAAATATTTATTAATTACAAAATGCTGATTAACATATCACAATTAGCACTTTATTCAACATAAGAAGCAAAAGTATTTCTCTAGACAAAAAAAAATTAAGACATTAAATAATTAAGATTGAAAAATGATAGAATTTAATTTAAATTACTTGGATAAACTATCTAGCAGCAAAAATGATAATTTAACTAGATTAATAACAAGTAGTAAAAGTTTTTCCTCTCTCTCTCCCTGTTTTTTTTTTTTTACCATAGTAATGGGATGCTATTCACTCACCTGACAAGTTCTCACAATAATACTTAAATTTAATCACGTCTATATTAGGAACTCTCCTCAATCCCCTAAAATCCAAAAACAAAAATATTACTGCTCAAGTCAAAATTTATATAAAAGTTTTCACAATAACTAGATAGATAAACTTCAAGAACCATCTTAAATAAAAATTCTAACAACTATAGAACCCAATATTTTGACCCCTAATATTCCAATAGCTCTTATAGGATGAGCATTACACTTTTAAATTTATCCCTCAAGATTTACCGTATTGGGTGCCATTTTCAACATAACATCCTCATCTAATTAAACCCAATGCACAAGAGAGCAATTTAGCTTGGTCCTTAAATGACAAATCACATTTTTACGTTGATCTTCAATTCTCCCGTTACTTGAATACCATCAACATTGCAAGCATAAACTCCAACTACTCACGTTACAGCCCACAATTCACCATTGTCAACAATCTTTCAACGGATCAAAGATCATGTAATCATTCAAACTCATCCACCGAACAAGCATCTTGGCTCAATAGATAAAGCAAGATTTCTAAGCGAACCCTTTTCCCAAACATTTCTACAAACACCTTGTATGCAGTAATAATTAAACAAAATAACCAAGCATATTAATCAACCGTTCTAGCCTTAATAAACTTCATAACAGCCACAACAAACTGAAAATTTCACAGCCTAGCACAATTATAAACATTAAATCCAAAACAGAGGAATAAAATGCAAGAGAACCAACTCATCTCCATCACTGACAGCGGCACACTAAAAATCTAGAGGAGAGGAAGATAAAGATCGCATCAATGATCAAACAAGAGTAAAAAAAGACGAACTCCAAACCTTTTACCCCCAAAAAAATCAAATAGAGCAAGCGACAAAAATGGCACAGCGAAGCTGGAAAAGTTCAGAACTGAAGCAAGCCAAAAGAATCACAATGCCATGTCGGTGATAGCAACTTTGACAGCAAGGAATGGTAGGAGGAGCGACGAACCAAAGGAGGGAGAGTGGAGGGTTAGGGTTTGAAGTTCATGACTCATTCTCTCAATTCCTCCTCTCTCTCATCGAAGTGAAAGCACCGGAAGAGGAAAAATAATGCAGCAATCTCTCTGTTTTTTTTACAAGGGTATTTAAGTAATTTTCCTATAAAAATGAGAAAAATAAATTCTCCTTTAAACAGGGCTGGGGTTCAAACCTGGAACCTCTGACCTCCTTAGCAACCTTTGTTATCATCTATCTCCAAGCTCTGTTCAGTACTCAAGCTACAACAATTAATATAAGTATTAATTAATTTATTATGAAAATTTTAAAGGTATTACATAAAGCAATGAGCGTGTTTAGGTAATGTCAAAAAAGCTACAACAGGACAAGAGTAATTAAGTTTTTGGAACAAGTCTTAACAATAAAGATATAAATACATTACTGAATTCGTTTTCATTTTTATCAAATGTTTGTTATTCTTTAATATTGGATGTTGCTATTACGTCAATTCATTTGAATTTATGTAGCATCTTAGTTCTATATATAAAGAGCAATACATACAGGAATAATGAGTAGAAGTTATCCTCCTGAAAATATGTTTTACTTGTTTTATTTTCCCGTACCCTACGGACCTTAAAATCCAACACTGATCTCAGGAAGCATGTTTACTGCAATTAATAAAAGGCTCAATATTTATTTTGAATCCAACTGTCACTAATACTTTCCAGTTAGATGCTGCTCCAGCATGCTTCAAGCATGTCTAGAACGTAATATGACAACTATAAAATTCTTTAGATAGACATTAAGCTTTGAACTGTTCAAATGATGGCACTTGACAAAGACATGAAACAGAGTCATGTGATCTCTCTTACCCATGTTTCTAGACTGGACTACACCTCATTTAGCTAACCCCTGATCAATCATATCTCAACTAAATGGGTTTGCAAGTCCTCTATTCATTTGGCTCGCCTGACTTCTTGCTTTTTGAAACAGACCTTTAAGACACAACCATTTGAACTCTAAGAGCCTTTGTCTTCCATTAGGCCCTATCAGGTAACCTCTTCTCCACCAATTATTGAAGGAAAACAGATGCATTCATCTATATATACTCATGCTTGCAAGCATTTCAGAAGCAATTCAAGTCTACAACAATATCCTCCTCGAGCATCTCAATTCATCAACCACATTCTTCTTATTCTCTTCACAGAAAAATGGATTTTTGATTGCCTGGAATTAGAAGGGCTTCATTTACTACAAAAGCGACTTCTTCAAGATCAAGTGAAGTACCAAAGGGATTTCTTGCAGTCTATGTGGGAGAGGAAATGAAGAGGTTTGTGATCCCAATATCATACTTGAATCAACCTTCCTTTCAAGAGTTATTGAGCCAAGCCGAGGAAGAGTATGGATATGATCATCCAATGGGCGCTCTGACTATGCCTTGCAGAGAAGATATCTTCCTCAATGACACTTCTTCTTTCGATAGGTGCTAAGTGACAACAATAAGATCAATTAACTTTAGATTAGTCAACACAACATTTGCAATTGGACCAATTCGGATCCATTTTCTTTGTAGAAGATTTTTTTGTTATTCTTTTTCTTCCCCTTGTTGGGAAGTGCAAAGTTGTTTATCTTAATGACCAACCGATGAATGGAAATTCTCACATTCTCTTTATCAAATTATCAATATCGAAGGCACTGAACTTCTAGTTTAAGGAACGCATAATATTCATTAATCTCGTAATTCAATTATTCTGCCTATTGAGATTTAATTAATGAATCCCCTAGATAACTTATCTCCAAAATAGGACACACAATTTTTAGAGTTCCACTTTCACTTTAACTTCCAGAGTCAGAGTTCCAAGATTCCAAATAGAGCATTGAACTTACTATAATACTAAATTGAGCTTTCTCTGTCCGCTTTGTTTCTTCGTGGACTTTGGTGCGTTGTGGCCACTGAATTAATAATTACGTTCTGAGTAGCAGGAGATGAGATATTCCACAAAAGTAACACAAATATCCAAGTGAAAAAAAAAAATAAAAGTTCAAACTCTTGTAGCCATATTTCAAAATTGGGAATCTATATCTTTCTTATGTGAGTTGGCTTGAGAGTTATATGCACTGTCTTTTAACATCTTTTTCCTTTGAAAAGCACTTGTAAGACAATATCATGTGATCCCTTATGGTCGTTGTCCCTTTGAGAGAAAACTATATGTTCCTAACACTCGAGCTCACGGGCAAGACATATCCTGAAGCGAAGCTTCATCAAAGTCCTTTCTTTTTCTTTTTCTTTTTTGCATTCTTTTTCTTTACAAGAGCTGATTGGAGATTTAATTTGATCTTAAATACAAGACTTTAATTGACTTTATCTCTCTGTTTTTTTTTAAAGATAATCCCAATGGTGATTGTTCATGCTAAAATATTTTCATTTTAATGCACATAATTAATAAGAGTATTTTAGGAAAGAAAACACTTATTTATTACAAGTGACTTGCTTTTGACTTTCTTATTATTAGCAAATTAATTATCTGGCTCATAATATATATGAAGGACCAGAGGTAGTATAACTTTGATTGACCTATGAGCCGTTAATTTTGAAGTCAAACATATATGCCTAATTGTTTTGACAAAGTTTGCTTCAAATTTACGAATCAAGGGAAAAAATTGAAGAAAAACGTAAGCTATAATTAATCCTAACGGGAAAGGATTTTTAGTTCATGAAATTTGAAACGTTTCATTGCTTGTTTTATTAATATATGCTACTAATATTATTTCATCTTCCAGTGCTGCCAGCTACTGAATGTTTACATATTTTCACAAAATGAGATAATATCATTGAAGACAAAAGCATAAATGATGTTTCCTTATCAGTCTCCCTCATTGGCATTCTGGCATCTTCTCTATGAACGTTCTATGATGCTTCGGATTGGAGGCATGACCCTCTCAGGTCTTCCATTCATTCCTTTATTATTTCCCATATATCGTTAACTATAATCACTGAATTGAAATTAAAAATAACAGAATTTACCGAAGAAATTTTTATTTTTATTTTAAAAACGATTATTTTATAATTCTTCCCAAGAGTTTCCTTGCGTTAGTTTGCTTGCACGGAAAAAATCATGATTAATCGAATTTATTGGATTACGTCAAATAACATTCTGTTCTCAATCTGGCCACGTTAAAAAAAAAAAAAAATTGTCAATGTTGCTCAACTAAAGATTACTATCTTTCACGTTCATAGTTGATTGAGATCACATGAAAATTTTCTGTTGATAAATGTCACCGCGGTCACAAACAATTTGGCTCTTAACATGTGAGGGAAGAAAAAAAGATAGCGAAGATCTTTACATGAAACAAAATTATTGTCCGAATTTCCTTTCTATACAGAAATTTTTGTTGGCTAAACTAAGTTAAAACTGTCACTGCAAGCTAGCACCCGTTGAAGCAAGTAGTGACTTTTAGGAAGACATCTTCTGTGCAAGGAATGGTGAGGGCACCCATTGGATGATCAAACCCAAATTCTTCTTCAGCTTCACTTAACAATTCTTGGAAAGAAGGCTGATTCAAGTATGATATAGGGATAACAAATCTCTTCATTTCCTCTCCAACATATAATGCGAGATGTCCCTTTGGCACTTCAGCACATTTTGCAGAGCTCACTTTGGCAGCGAAGGAAGTCCTCCTAATTCCTGGTAAACGAAAACCCATTGTTGTTTGTGTTTATGAAGAGAATAAGAAGGAAGCGTTTGGATAATTTTATGCTTGAGAGTATTGGGAAAGACTTGTGTTGCTCGCTTCTAAAAGCGTACGAGTATATATAGATGAATGGTGTAGGAGAGGTTATGTGATGGAACTTAATTATCGAAAGACAAGGGCATATAGAGATCACATGGAGCTGTCTCAGAGGTATTTCTCACAAAAACAAATGCCAGGATGAGAGCCAAATGAATAGCAAGGACATAAGAAATCCTTTTGTTTGAGATATGATTGAGGAAGGGTCAGGTAAGTGGTGTAGTCCAGAGAGACATGGATGAGAAAGATCACATGATAATGTTTTATGTCTTTCTCAAACGTAAGATCTTATATTTCTTATGGTTGTCAATTTCATTTCTTGACATGCTTGAGGCAAATTTCTCTTTAAATGACAACGGAGAGCATATGGGACAGCATGTCTAACTTTAAATGACAACTGAAAAATTCTTATAGGAGACATTGCGCCTTAAACTGTTCAAGTCTTCCTTCTTGAACATAAAACAGAGCCATGTGATTTTCCTTATCCATATCTCTGGACGGGATTACAACTCATTTTAGATAACTCTTTAGCAGTCATGACCCAGTCCCCCCATCATTATTTGGCTCATCTTGACTTGTTGCTTTTACAAAATGACCTCTAAGACACATCCATGTGAACTCAAGGTGCCTTTGTCTTCCAATAGCTAGGCTCTATCATGTAACTTCTAAACCACCAATTATTGTAGGAATACAGATCCATTCATCTATATATACTCATAATTGTATGCTTTCAGAAGCAAGCAACCCAATCTTTCACAATACTCTCAGGCATCAGTATTCACATCCTTCCTTCTTATTCTTCTTACACACAAGTACACAACAAGCAATGGGTTTCCGTCTACCTCTAATCAGGAGGGCTTCATTCGCTACAAAACTTACTACAAAATCTGGTGAAGTGCCAAAGGGATATCTCGCAGTATACATTGGAGAGGAAATGAAGAGGTTTGTGATCCCTATATCATACTTGAATCAACCATCTTTTCAGGAGTTGTTAAGTGAAGCTGAAGAAGAATTCGGGTTTGATCATCCAATGGGTGCCCTCACTATTCCTTGTGCAGAAGATGTCTTCATAAAAAACCACTTCTTCCTTTAGTGGGTGCTAGCTAACCAAGACATGATCAGATTAGTCAACCTACACAATTTTGTAATCATTTTGCTTTGTAGAGATTTTTGTTCTTTTCCTTCCCCTACAGGGGAAGTGAAAAAACTGTTTATCTCAAAGAGAAGATGAATAGACATTTTTCACGTTATCTCAACCAACTGTCAATATCAAAGACATTAAACATATAGTTAAGGTGATCACGAGTTGTATCTCTTTAATCTTTAATCTGATAATTCAAGTTCAGATTTCTCTCCAGGGGTATTAACATCAGCTCCCTCAGTGGTTTTTCTAGAGAAGTGATCCCACATGCACGCCTATGCATATTACTTCTTTTTTCAATAAAAAGATCAATATATTAGACAAGGTAAAAAGACAATGTTGCAAGTCCAGTGTTCTCATCCAGTAACTAAGGGTGAGCTGAAAAATGATGACTAATGAGTCCCAGTGCTCTTATATTCCAACGGTAGCGTTAAGAAGAATAGGAAAAGAAATGTTTTATTTGATACGCAAAATAATTAACTTTTATTTCATGGGAAAATCTATAATTTTTATTTTGAACTCAATAATTATAGTTTATAAACAAGGCGTACGTAGCATCATTTAAAGAAAATTATGTTTCTAACACTCGAGTTCACAAGCAACATGTGTGTCCCGAAGCAAAGCTTCATCAGAGTCCAATTTTTTTTTAATTTTGTCCGTTTTTAAGAGTCTTTAAATGTTTTATTAATTTGTACAAATCATAACTTTGATTGACCTAGGAAAAAGATTGAAGAAAAACATAAGCCAATTAATCCCAAAGGGAAAATTAGAAATGTTGAGTTCATGAGATGTTATATAGAAGAGTAAGGCTCAATCATGAGTGCAAAAAGTTGTTGTAACGACAGTTAATTACGCTGGTTAATAAACTGACGTGAAGTATTGAACGGTAACATTGTAAATTATTTGAATTTTTAAGTTAAGTTTATAGAAATTAAAGAACCCAAGTCGTAGAAACCAATTTTTAATTTAATTCTAATCTTGAATTTAAAAATAAATCATAATTAACAATCAAATATGTTAATTTTATTAATATATGCTTCTAATATTATTTGATCTTCCAGTGTTACCGGCTACTGAATTTTTACATATTTTCATAAAATGAGATAATATCATTGAAGACAAAAGCATAAATGATGTTGCCTCATCAGTCTCTCTCAGTGGCACTCTGGCATCTTCTCTTCAAACGTTCTGTGACGCTTCGGATGGGTGGTATAGAGCTCTCTGGGTCGTCCATTCATTCCTTTATTTCCCATCATTAAATGGGTTTCCTTTAGCCTTATAAATCATAATTACTGAATTGAAATTAAAGATAATATAATAGAATTTTCCCATTAAAATTATATTTTTATTATAAAAATATTTTTTATAATTCTACTAAATAGTTTCCCTGGATTAATTTGCCAGCACTGAAACGTTCATGATTCGAATTTACAGGATTAATTAATATATGACATTCTCTTCTCAATCTTGGCACGGGAAAACATATTTGGTTGCCATCAGTACTTTTCCGGCCCAAAAAAAAAAAAAGATCAGTACTTTGACGATTCAGATCGCATGAAAATTGTCTATTGATAAATTTGTCACATACACAAACATTTTACACTTCCTATGTAGGGATGGGGCAAATCCTTAGAGAAACAAAATTATCATCTGAATTTGCTTCTATACAAAATTGTATTGACTAATCTAAGTTAAAACTGTCGTTGCGAGCTAGCACCCATTGAGGCAAGCAATGACTTTCAGGAAGACGTCTTCTGTGCAAGGAATAGTAAGGGCACCCATGGGATGATCATACCCAAATTCTTCTTCAGCTTCACTTAACAATTCTTGAAAAGAAGGCTGATTCAAGTATGATATGGGGATCACAAATCTCTTCATTTCCTCTCCGACATTTATTGCAAGATATCCCTTTGGCACTTCACCAAATTTTGCAGAACTCACTTTTGCAGCGAAGGAAATCCTCCTAATTCCTGGTAAACGAAAACCCATTGTTGTTTGTGTTTAGGAAGAGACTAAGAAGGAACTGTTTGGATATGCTTGAGAGTATTGCGAAAGATTTGCGTTGCTTGCTTCTGAAAGCTTACAAGGATAAGTATATATAGACGAACGGTGGAGGAAAGGTTATGTGATAGAACTTACTTATCCGAAGACAAGGGCATCTAGAGATCACATGGAGTTGTCTCAGAGGTCTTTTCCAAAACCAAAAAAAAGTCAGGATGAGAGCCAAATGAATAGAGAGGACATCAAAATTCTTTTGGTTGAGATATGATAGAGGAAGGGTCAGTTAAGCGACGTAGTCCAAAAAGACATGGATGAGAAGGATCACATGATAATGTTTTATGTCTTTCTCAAACGTAACATCTTATATTTCTTATGGTTGTCAATTTCAGTTCTTGACATGCTTCAAGCATATCTTACGCTTCCTTTATCTTTGCTGGTCCTTTATCTTATCGACATAAGGCTTTAAACAGTTCAAATGACTCTTCTTGAACACAAAACAGAAACATGTGGTTTTCCTTATCATGTCTCAGGTTTGTATTACAACTCATTTTAGATAGATCTTTAGCATTCATATCCAAGCCCTCCCTTCATTAGTTGGCTCATCTTGACTTGTTGCTTTTATGAAATGATCTCTAAGACACATCCATGTGAACTCCAGGTGCCTTTGTCTTCTAAGAGCCAGGCTCTGTTTCTTAACCACCAATTATTGCAGGAAGACAAATCCATTCACCTATATATACTCACACTTGTCTGATTTCAGAACCAAGCAACACAAATCTTTCACAATACTCTCAGGCATCATATTCAAATCCGTCCTGCATATTCTTCTTACAAAGAAAAAAACAATGGGTTTTCGTCTTCCTGGAATCAAGAGACTTCATTTGCTGCAAAACCGACGTCTTCGAAATCTGGTGAAGTGCCAAAGGGATATCTCGCAGTATATGTGGAGAGAGAAAATGGAGAGGTTTGTGATCCCTATATTATATCTGAATCAACCTTCGTTTCAAGAGTTGTTAACTGAAGCTGAAGAAGAATTCGGGTTTGATCATCCAATGGGTGCCCTCACTATTCCTTGCACAGAAGAGTTTTCCTAAAAGTCTCTTCTCTCTGTAGGTGCTAGGGACAAAGACAAGATTAGATTAGTCCGCACAATTTGTAATCCTTTTGCTTGTGGAGATTTTGTTATTTTTCTTCCCCTATACGGG